CCCTATCCCTCATCCCACCCCCACACCCCTCCCCCACCCACCCAAGACCAGACCAGCATGTGTCAGCTTCGCCACTCACAGCAACAGCTGTTGGCCTGGTGTGACATCTAGTGATACTGACGAGCCACCAACGCTCCCTGCAAGAGCTGACAATTTACTGCTCAAGCACATCGGTCAATGAAACCTGAAAGATTTATCTCTCTTGGCATATTAGGACATGATGTTTTTCGGACGGGCATTAAGACATAATATTTTGTTTAGACAAATGTGAGTTTTAGCAGTTCCGAGAGCGGACACAAAGTGGTGCATTCCTTGTGGTTCAAAACATTAGTGAGAGCTGGCCATAGGATCCAATAACAGCTGATCTATACTTAATTTATTTTAAATGGATTTCAAACGAGTCATTTTGCCAATAAACAGTTCGACAATGCTTTTACTGTTTTGTTTTGCATAGATTAAGAGATTTCACATTTTTCTCACTAGTGCATTCATGGAGATTTAATGAATAAGTGAAACATAACCAAAGGATGTAATAACAACTCAGAAACTTAATTCACTGTTGAAATGACCCAGTCATAATATTATTGCTATACATCAATTCGCAGAAAAGGTTATTGTTTATTTCTGAACTGGTAAGTAGTCAACTTAAACGAAACAAGCAAACGACAGAATTACAGTTCGCTTTGTCATTGTACAATTTGTACATCACTGTTGTTATCATCATGTGTTAATGCGTAGTTGACGGGTTTTCTGTTATGATTTGCTCCTTCTTTCCTATCAAACATCTATCATCCTGATCTGTCCTCCTTTTTTCTTTTTTTTTTACTCGCTCGTAACACCTCTAATTTTTGGCACTTATTTGACCTTATTGTGTTGCGAGTGCCGTAAACCTCTGACTAAAACTAATCATCGTATGGTCCCTTTTAAGCACAAGAGGGCTATCCCGAAAAATGCTGTTTTGAGAAAATCGAAGGTAAAGTTTTTGCCCCTTGTTCAGTTTCTTTAAAAGACAAGGAGTTTTCTGTATAACAAAACAAATATATTATACACACCAATGAAACCAAACTTCTCCTATAGGTAGGGGGCAATGTCCACTTTTGGTGTCGGTCAAGATTTCTGGACACCCTCAAAATATGGGTTAGCCCGCTTGCCCTTAAAAAGCGACCATATTATGTTATGTTCCTATTACATAAACTAATCATGAAACGGAGGATTTTGTCATCGCATGTACTGACTTACTTTTCTTATGATGCAACTGAACTGTGGATCGGTGACTGACAGAGCTTGCAATCTTAAGAGACATACCGTACACAATAAACAACGTTAATAGGAACAGATAGATCGTCTCTTTACCAGACCCAGGGTATATTATGTAGCCAGCTGGCGGCATTGTTATGAAGTACTTCCCCTCTGTGTGGCCAAAAGGCAGTATTGAGTCTGGACAGTAATTGCAGTTAGTGCGACATTTCAGGAAAGGTCACAGATTGTTATCAAAGCCTGCCTCATCGTCTGTGGCGATGTAATGGCTTGTCGCTGGACACTGAAAACTCACTTAGTTGAGAAGATGGCTGGCCTTTGGAAATTGAAAGCTCAGACTTAGATGAGAGGATGGCTCAAACGATGGTCAAGGGTTGTTTTTTATTCAGTGTACGTTTTTTTTATTATACTGAAAACGCCGCTAATATCGGTGAGACATTAAGTTGTTTTTTTTCTGGTGACACTATGTAGCCTACAAAATTTGCTTTCTATAAGCACGTTTCGGGTTATAAATTAAAATTTGTAGAATCACCCCGATCCCCCCACCCCCCACTCCTCCCCACATCCCCCTTCTGTTCAAGTTATCAACTCAAAATGTTGCCGTCTTCAACTAATACTATTTTTGTCTGTCATCCCATTTAACTTTATTTCAAATTTAACAGTAATAGTTGTAACACATTGTCGTTGCATCAATGTAACAAAAGCGACACCGGAATCAAACTCAGGTGTTTTAAGTGCGACGACAAATTAAGCGCCACCCAGCAGCACAATCGACGCAAGTCTTCTTCCTTAAAACCTTACAACGAAACAAAAAAATTAAAGTAAAATTATTCCTCTGACGTATCTTTTTTTGTTTCGTTTCAGATTTCTTCTCTCAAGCAATGACTACCCACCACCTATATGCTGGGAATGACAATACTTCTTTCATCGATTGTGAATGTTTTTGGTGAGTACTGGAGCATTAAATTTAAACAAGATATATTTCATCAACTAGATTACGCGGGAGGATGGGGTTGGTAAGGCAAGAAAGTCTAGCCTCTGCACCTCTTATTATAATTGTTAGCTAGGATTTTACGCCTCCATCGACACTATGTAGATGATTCAGGGGGTGGTATGCTTCGGTCCTGCCTAGAGAGAGAGAGAGAGAGAGAGAGAGAGAGAGAGAGAGAGAGAGAGAGAGAGAAAGAGAGAGAAAGAGAGTGAGCGATAGAGATAAAGAGGGAGATAAAGAGAGAGATAAAGAGAGAGATAAAGAGAGAGAGAGAGAGAGAGAGAGAGAGAGAGAGAGAAAGAGAGTGAAAGAGAGAGAGGAGAGAGAGAGAGAGAGAGAGAGAGCTACAACGTCCCAACAGACATAGAAGAGATACAAGAAAACAAACCCCGATCGCTAATGCAGTCTCCCTCTGATTGGGAAAAGGTGAAATGATAAAATAATTTTAACACTCTTATAAACAATATCAGGGTATTTCATAGGCCGGACCCCGGAGTTTGACGTCCATCTTCAAAACGACCTAGCCAAATAGGAAATTCATGCAAACTGCCTTTCCCAAGGACTCAACTTTGGCGGACCGAACTAACGCTTGAACCCCCGAATCCGCAGCCTCACGATTACGGGTTCGGTAGCCTAACCATAAGGCCACCGACGTCACCTCTGATTGGTCATTGCCACACGTTTGATCCCATTGCCACCCGCCCTCTCATAAAATACTAATGATCGTAATAATAGTAGATTTCCATAGAGCCTACTCCGTAATTGAGATCTAGGCGCGTTAGATTGATATTGAAATCGGTTATTCACACGACATTTAAGCGACATTTGAGCTGATTAAGTTATTCGTACTCACATAAATATACAAACACACAGATGCATACAGTCACGAATACACTCACTCTCTCTCTCTCTCTCTTTCTCTCTCACACACACACTCACACACACACACACACACACACACACACACACACACACACACACACACAAATATATAATATTATTATGCACGTGCAGAGAGACATAAGCGCACGGGTACGCACAGAATCACTTAACCTTGCTTACACATCAAAATTAATAGACTGTAGAGAATATCAACATAATGTGGGGGCTCACGTGGTCTAGAGGTTACGGTGTTCGCTTCTCATCCAATTGGTCGCTGTTTCGAATTTGGATAGTGATGGAAAATTTTCTGCTCTAAAGATTTTCTCCTTTCACTTTCACGTCCTTTCCTGTTCTCTAACAATGTTCTGTCGTCAGCTTTCGTCTCCACTTTCTGCCCCCACCCCCTCACCTCCTATGCCCACTCCAATGAGCTCCTAATTTTTTTCTATAGCCTTTCTCTGCTGTTACTCCTTGGCTCATTACTACTGTCTTTCAGCCACACCTCTGATCTTATGGTTGGTAAGATCTGCACCTAGCCTTCTCGGACAAGGACGAAAAATCTCGGAGGTCCGTGTGCAATTAGCGCACGTTAAAGATCCCTTGGTGGACCAAAATCAATAAAAGTAGGCTTCGGCAGCCACCAGGGCAAAACTTCAAAATTTCCTACCAACTATAAAGGCTAAATGTGTCAAGCGCGCTCATAACCTTACACAGTTGCAAGCGCGTAAAACAATTATCATCATAATGTTCTATTCCGGATGTTCAGGTGAGTTAAGGACAGATTTGGGCCTCGTGGGATATACTGTCTAGATCAAACGCCGCTGCTCTGGCTATTATTCAAAATGAGACGGCAATCACAAAATGAATTAATTGGCAAATAAATGGAATCTTGCTTTTGGGTGTGCTTTTAGCTAAACCATTCTACCTTTGCTCGTCTTTATCAAATTAACCAGGCAGCGAAAAAATAACTTGATTTTTGTTTTAATGTAAGGTTTTGGTGCCTGCCTTTATAACGACACAGTTTAGATAGCAATGTGTTAGGCCTTCAACCCTCACAATTCAATGAAGTACATGATTGTACTACTTGCTGAACAATTAGAGCAGTACATTTAACATCGTTGTTTGATCAATGGGGTGTGTGTGTGTGTGTGTGTGTGTGTGTGTGTGTGTGTGTGTGTGTGT